GTCTCAAGTTGCAGTGGGGGAAGTCTAGGTTGGATATTAGGAAATACTATTTCACTAGGAGGGTGATGAAGCACTGGAATGGGTTACCTAGGGAGGTGGTGGAATTTCCATCCTTAGAGGTTTTTAAGGCCCGGCTTGACAAAGCCCAGGCTGTGATAATTTAGTTGGGGTTGGACAAGATGACCTCCTGAGGTCTCTTCCAACCCTAATCTTCTATGATTCTATGTAAATGTTACTGGTTGAATGGGTTAATATTGGGGATATCCCCAGACTAGAGTTATAGACTAAATCCAATTAAATTTTATTCCATTTCCTTCAAAAATACATTGTTAAAGACATTTATAATAATGCAGGAAATATTTGACATCCCAACCAAGAATAAATAGTCAAGGTATACAGGTCTAAGACTGCTAGCTCTTATTAATGAGTGTAGCAGCCAATTTAATCAATAAGACCACTTGCATGAGTAAGGACTAGCAGGTCTACATCTGTGTTAGCATATGGAGAGGCAAGGGTGTGGAGGACAGGAGGTTAGATGTTCTTATTTGTATGTTCTATGCCTGTACCCTGCCCTGTGTCTTCTTTGTATGTTTAGAGTGTAAGCTCTTCAGGGCAGGGACTTTCTACCACTGCCTAGCTCAATGAGACCCTAATCTTGGTTGGTGCCAAGGCACTCCACCACCTGGAGATGAAAACAGATGCTCACGCCAAAACACATGGGATGGTAAGTCAGCTATTTCCACGCAAAAGCACAAGGCATGTACCTCATGAAAAACAGCTCAGGAGAATAAGCTATTTGGGGAAAGGGTGCAGGAACAATGATTTCTATATCTGAATAAGCCATTGTTATAGCCTTTCTATTCCTCAGCATTTCTTTTGTGATAATCAAGATTTTAATAATCTGCCTAGGTATTTTTGTAGTGAAGCTAACTGCTCCTTGTTCCATTTTCTATTTTTCTCTTTGTATAGATAGGTTTTTATTTAGAAGGATTACTCTATTTAAACAGCACACAAATGACTGATGTATCTAATTATTCTGCCTGTTTGAATGGCTCTGCTTCCCAGAGACCTATTGTCTGAACTCACTATGGGGGCGAGGGGAGAAAGAAGTGTTCATTACACACATCAAGTTGTTGATCTTAACAACCAGATCCTTTAACATAAGCTGTAAGCAGTTTTGAGCTACATGTCTAACTGGAGGATGCCCAGGGAATGTCTGGGGATGCAGAGTAGACACAGCAAATGAAAATTACATAGGCAAATGAGTATATTTAATAGCTATACTTACAAAATCTATATAATGCAAAATGTGGATTTGAAAAATATTTACTGTACTTGATTTCTTTAGAACATCATTTTGGATAGAGTTGTGCAGGTACCAAAATTTACTTTTGGCATGAAATTCCATGATTTAGAAATCTGTTTTTGTTCTGATTCAGAACACAAACAAAATATATGAAAATTTCCTGTGAAATTATAGTACTGGAAAAATAAAATTTCTGGTCAATCCAAACATTCTAATTTGATTAAAATCAAAACACATCCTTCTAATTTACTTTTTATATGTCATAATTCATAACAATTTCAAAACAAAAAGTTGTTTTAAAACAAACAAAAAATCAAACCTTATGTTCCAATTCATTTCAAACTTATCAAAACATGTAATTTCAAATTTTTTCAAAACACAATTGCACCAAAACCAACAAATTTCCACAGAATGTTTCAATTTTGCTGAAAGTATTTTCTGACAGAAAAATGTGCTATTGGAAAATTTTCAACCAATTCTAATTTTGAACTTAACATGTATTTTTGCATGCAAAAAAAGTTAAAAAGAGCATTGACTGAATTGGCAATTAAAATGTACTTTCTAAACTTGGAACTGATATTGTACACTATTTAGATAGTATCCCTTAATGTTTCTTAACATATTCTTCAGTGACCTTGGAATTCTGCATTAACTAACATTTGGAAGTCATTTAAAATACTAATGGAAACATGTTCAAAAGATATAAGCAGCTCAATTTTTAGCTCTAAATTGTATCCACTCAGCCCAGTTGCCTACATAACAGGAAAATATGAAAAGCAAGAAAATGGGAGTGTGTATTTTAATATTTAGGTTAAGGAGGAATGCACCATCTATGTTTATCTTTACAGTGAGCTTTCAGGTAAGTACTATTTAATATTTAAAGATGAGTTGAGTTATTGTATTTGAAGAAAATGCTATCTCAAGGTCACCTAAAGATTTGTTGAAGGTCATCGCTGCAGAATGCTGCAAGTAAAGAAACCATCTGTGATAAATTCAGTTAACACTATATATAGGCAAATTAATAATTATATATTCTTGCTGGTGTGACATCCAAAGTTATCCATCATATTGTTCATACTTTTTAAATTAAACAGAATTGTTGACATTGTAAGAAATTGTATTACATAAGCAATACAAGAAGCAGCCAGGTGTGAAAAATAAGGTCCTAATCCTCAGGGGCAGCTCTATGCAGGCAGTCCACTTGGTAACGTGGATTCGGTGGCATGCCTGTGGGAGGTCCGCTGGTAACACAGATTCGGCATACCCGCCGCTGAAGCTGCGGGACTGGCGGACCTCCTGCAGGCATGCCACCGAAGGCAGCCTGACTGCCGCCCGGCAGGCCACCCCCCGCGGCTTGCCGCCCCAGGCACGCGCTTGCTGCGCTGGTGCCTGGAGCCGCCCCTGCTAATCCTGCAAACATTTAGGAATAGATGTAGCTTTACTTATAGCAGCTGTCCCTGTCAAGGCAGCCTGCAACATGCCATGAGGGTCAACAGATTCAGGCTATTTCAGATTGAGGTGTGGAGGAAAAGGAAAAGGGTCTTCATGGAGAATGCCCTGCCAGCAGCCCTCTCTTTTTTGGTACCTATATACCTCAACTCACATAGGCAGCTTTCAGGCTGTTTAGGGTTTTATAGAGAAATACTAACAGCTTAAACTTCACCCAGAAGTCCATATGCAACCAGTGAAGATCATGGAGCACTGGGGTAATATGCTCACAATGGGATATTCTACTTAACAAGCAGGCTGCTGTATTCTGTACTATTTTTATTTTCCAAGTAGATTTGAAGTGTAGTCTCAAGTAGAACATACCACAATCTCCTACCCATACATTAAATTTAAAAAGTCAAAGGTTTTTGAAATCTAAACGGACTCCCAGGAAACTTATATATAACTTTCTGCCACATCTTACCTTGCCCAGCACACCAATATTATCTTTGTTTTATCTGGATTGAGCCTCATCCAGATCATACCTCATCTCTGGCAGAGTGTGGAAAAAGATACTTGACTAAGCTAACCTGCTGGAGGAGATAAATATACAACTGGGTATCGGGAGCATACTCAAGACATTTTAACTTTTGCTTCCTTGGTAACTTTCCTAGGATATGTCTACACTGCAGCTGGGAACAAACCTCCCAGTCTGGATTGACAGGTTTACACTAGAAGGGCTCAAGTTAGTGTGCTAAAGCTAGTCTGGATGTTGCAGCTCTGGTGGAAACTTGGGGTAGCCACCCAAGAGCAGAGCCAGCAGGTCAGCTGGGCTTGAGTGCCCGAGCTGCTCCCCACAAAGCCACAATGTCAACACTGCTATTTTTAGTGTGCTGTGTCAAGACGAGCTAGCACAATTCTGCCTACACTGCAGCTGGGAATGTGCCTCCCGGCCCCCGTGGACATATCCTCGGAGAGTTACCAAGGAAGCAAAGGTTAAAAGATCTTGAGTATGCTGCTGACACCCATCCCTAATGGCCTTACATACGTGTTGAGCAAGAGAAAGATGACAAGAGTAACAGCATGCTGTAGTGGACAGGGCATTGGACAAGGACTCCAAGCACCTCGGTTCTATTCCTAATTCTGTTCCTGATCTGCCGTGTGACCTTTGGCAAATCACTTCACCTCTCTGAGTCTCTTCTTCCTTTCCCACTTTTTGTCTGTCTTGCCTATGTAGATTGTAAGCTCTTAGGTGGCAAGGACGGTCTCTTTCTTCTTTCTACTTTCTTCCTCCCTCTGAGAAGAGTGTGTGTGAAGTATAGTGGACCAGGAGAGTGAAGTTAGGTTGCTGAAGGGTGGTGGTGATCATGTCAGGGAGCTTCTGCTGCTGCTTCCCATGCGGAGGGATGAGAAAGAAAAGCCTCCAGATCTGATATCCTGGGTGGGTTCCATTGAGTCTGCTATGGAGAGGAAGCTGGAAGGACCCATCTTATACTCAGCACCATCTACAGCCAAAGGTGCAGGGACCTTTAGAAAAGAAGCCACAAAGATCTGGAGATATCTATAGTCCCTGTCTTGAAAAATCCTCCCAGCTGCAGCCAAATTATCATTTTCACAAACTAGGTTGATTCTGATTACACTTATTTACGTACACATATTTGTATTTAAATCTATACTAGACCGTTTTCTTAAAATGTCCTGCTGGTGCTATCACCAGTGTTAGCAACAGTAGGAATACTAGCATAGACTCACTGCTGGTATTTTAATTGCTGCATCATCTAACCATGCTCAAAGCAGGTCTGGACAACAGATTTGTTAAAACACTGTTAAAACAGCTCCCACCACTAGTGAAACTGCACCAATGGTAGCAGTTGTTGGGAAATTTTAA